GGAGTCGGTTCCAACTCATAGTGACCCTGTACAGGGTTTCCGAGACTGTAAATCTTTACAGGAGCAGAAAGCCTCATCTTTCTCCTGCGGAACAGCTGATAGTTTCGAACTGCTGACCTTGTGGTTCGCAGCCTGATTCATAACCACCAGAGCTCTCACAGTTTAGGAGGCTTAAAGTCCAAATTCAGAGCACCACCTGGAGAAAGGTCCTTGGTTTCTCCCAGCATCTGTACCCCCAGCATTTCTTGGAGAACGCCATGTGTCTTTGGCATCAGTCTTTCCCTGGTTCTAGGAGCTTCCCAGGTCTGAAGGATGAATTCCACTCCTAACTCTCCTTTCTTATGGTAATAGGTCCCACTTTCTCTGCTCACTTCTCTCTCTTGAACCATTAAAGGGGATGCAGGCTACTGCCCAGGGAAACTCCCCTTACATCACATCTGGGCTGTGACAGGGTTAAGGATGGCCAATCTCTTACTGGTTTGTTACCACATTATGGGGAGCATCACTTCCTGGCCATACTATATTACTACATTCTGTCAAACTATTGAGCATCATGGCCCAGCCAGGCTGAGGCATATTTTTGAGGGACACAGTTCAATCCATGTCAGTCCCCAAGTCTCCAGGGCCTCCAGATAGCAGAGGAGCAATCAAGGTCAGCCTTCCTGAGGATGGGGGGTGGGGGCAGGGAACAGTGGACAGACAGTCTTGGAGGGGTAAATTCCTACCCTGTTTCTGACCTCTATTATTGTGGTATGGCATTGTGGGTTAATGTGCTGAACTGTAAAGTTGTTTTGATCTACAAGGTTGGCGGTTCAAGCTCACCAGCTGCCCCTTGGAAACTCTATACGGGGTCAGTACGGGTTGGAACTGACTCTACGACACTTAATAGCAATAATGCTCTTGTGTGTCATCTAGTCATTTTCAACTCAGAGCAACACTGTATACGGTTTCCAATACCCTACAGCACTAACTAATTAGGACAGGCGTCCTGGTGTGGCACTGTAGAATGAACATGGCTTACCGCAAAGTCCATGGTTCAAACACATCAGCCGCTCCTTGGAAACCCTATCTTATTAAGAGCCATCCAGTCGGTTCCAACTCATAGGGACCCTGTACAGGGTTTCCAAGGAGCAGCTAGTGGGTTTGAACTGCTGACCTTAGGGTTATCAGTCCAGTGCTGATCCTACAGCACTACACCAAGACTCCATGGAAACACCGTATTATAGAGTTATGAGTCAGAGCTGATTTGGTGGTCTTTAGCAACAATGATGAGAAAAAAAGCTAGAAATAAGTAACGCTTAGCTGGATTTCCCAATTAACCATCGGGATCAATAGTCATTTTGCCTGAGCCAGCAAAAATGAAGAAAGCATCATAAAATAAGGTTTCCTGGGAAATGTGGGGTCCTGGCAGATCTGATGACACTCGGCTGTTGTTCTGGTGGAAACCCAGGCGGCTGCAGGTAGGCAAAAAAACACAACCGTGCTATAGGGTGCTTACAAGAAACCAAGTCTGAAGAAAAGGTGGGAGTTCACAGTTGGGCCAGACTCAGAATCCACAAGAAACCAGCATTGCAAAGTTGATATCAAACAAAAGGGATTTTAAGGTCCAGAGCATTCACCGGAATGAGCGGGACATCATGTAAAGATAAAAGATATAATGTGTGAGGAAGATATGTGGAATTCTCAGTAATTTTTGGGTAGCTGTGAATTCCATAACCAACTCTAGTAGGGAACAGGAGACATGAGTGGTGAGGAAAGAGGCTCTGGTGTCAGAAAGCCTGAGTTCAAATCCCAGCTCTACCACTTTCACTAGCTATGTGGCGTGGACAAATTTCCTCTCTGGGCCTCAGTTTCCTCATCTGTAAAATAGGTTCCTGGAGTCCTAGTGTGGTGCTGCGGGGTAATGTGCTGCAAGGTCAGTTTGAGTTGCAAAGTCAGTGGTTCAAACCCACCAGTTGCTCCTGGGAAACCCTATACAGGATTGCTAGGAGTCTGAACCAACACTGGCACTTAATAATAACAACAAAATAGGTTCCAAGTCCTTTCTTTACAGATGTATGGGAGGAAGAGTTAATTTACATGTAAAGCCAAGAGCATTAGCCAGCAGGTAGGAACCCTGGTGTTTGCTTCCTCCTGGTTGTCAGCTGTTTACACATAAAGTGAATACTTATTATTGTTGGCTGCCTGGGGGGACCGGTATGGACATGGTGGTAAAAGGAAGAGCCTGGAAGATACATCCAGAGTTCTGGGTGGGAGAGCATGTGAGTTGATATCAGTTACACCACCTTCCTCAAACTCAGTTTCCATGCTGTAAAATGGGGTGCTCATGGCAGGTGGGAATAGTGCTCTGAGGAAGACTGGAGAACCTTTGTCCTTCCAGAGGGTCTGAATTGGAACCACATAATGTCAGGGTCACAAGACACTACCCTGGACTTCAAGATGGCTCCCACATGAGGAGGGTGAAGTGCCATCAGCCAATACTAAGGGTCTGGTGTCTCCTAGGTAGTGGGGAGGTGGTCATTAACTACAGTTGTTTTTGATGATGTTGGATGCCATCGAATCATAGTGACCCCATATGATAGTAGAACTACCCCATAGGGTTTACTAGGCTAAAATCTTTCTAGGAGCAAATTGCCAGGTGTTTTTTCCTATGGACCAATAGGTGGGTTTGACCCGCCAACCTTTCTGTTTAGCAGCCAATTACTTAACCACGTGCTACCATAGGCTGGGTGATGCAAACGGTTAAGCCCCCAACTACTAGCTGAAAGCTGGGTGGCTTACTGCCACCCAGAGGCACCTCAAAGACAGGCCTTAGTGATCCACTTCTGAAAGGTCACAACCTTGAAAACCTTATGGGGCAGCCAACCACCTTGACAGCTGGGGAAAGTGAAGCTCAGAGATGCTGAGCCCAGAGTTCACCCAGCAGGTAATGGTATCAGAGATACTCAAATCCGGACCGGTGAGGGTCTGATCCCACAGTCCAAGTCTCCCACTGGGTCAGAAAATATTCAGAACAATGGGACCACTTCAGGGAGGACTTCTGGTCTTTTGCCTAGAAGAGCTCTGAGCCCCACAGACCCTGACTTGAACCTGGGGTTGGGGCTGCAAATGCAGGTGCTGAGTGAATGTCCCCTTCTTCCAGCAGCTCCGGCCCCACCCTGCACTGCCTAAGGCAGTTTGAGTCACTAGTGCCCATTCCTCCCCCAGGTGTAGCTGGCGTTCTGGTGGGACACCCGTTTGACACGGTCAAGGTGAGTACTTGCCACAGTTCCTTTCTCCTGTGGAGAAGCCTGGGGGGTTTAGGGATCTCTCCAGTTTCCTGCTGAGGAACAGGGCCAGGTCGGCCTGGGGGTTTAGAACTCGGAGAAATGCAAATTCTTAGAAATGCCCAGGCAGGCGGCTACTCTCCCACGGTCTGTTTTTCCATCTCCAGGCTGAGCCGAGCAGTGGGTCAAGTTCATGGTCAGTCTGTCCTCAGGCCTGGCCTCTGAGGTTCCTCCTGTCCAGCACGTGGGCACTCCCACACTGTCCTTAGGTAAAACTCTCCCAGAAGTTTTCTTCAAAGAAAGAACAGTTCAGAGAAAAAACAGACAAGTCAAAATGTCTCCAAATGACAAGGCTGCAAAAATGGGGTGGGAAAATGGAATTCAAAGATAATGTTCTTCCTGAGAGTTCTTTGAAGCCACCTCAGAGATGGCTGTTTTATTATTGAGAAGCTGAGAGAGATTTGTGGGCCCCCGCATTTTAAGAAGCTGGGGGCCTTGGGGCAGGGGCTCAGCTGGTTCCTCCTTGGCAGACCCCAGGCCTCAACTATACTCTCTCATGTTGGATTTTATGTTATTAACCTAGTCAAGTCAGGATCCTTTCTTGCCGGCTTCACCTGACACCCAGAGCACCTGGAAGTGGCTGGGCACCGGGCCAGGTCTTCCTGCCGCCTATAAATGTGAATTTGGGATTTTTCCTCAAAGCCTCTGCTGCCCTCTGGGGTGAGGCCACAGCCTGAAGGCAAAAGACGGCATCCGAGTTGGGCCTCTAAGCAAAGCCGGTGCCGCATTCAGCCAGGTGTTTGTTGTTGGGGCCAGGATTTCATACCCAGGTGCCTTACCTCCTGGCCAAGTGTTCCCACTGACAAAGTGAGGGGGCAGAGGAAGGAAGCTCTGTGGGTCCCACGGTGTGTGTTGGCTTGGGTTGAATGCATGGAGTGCTTCCTGAAGGCAGGCACATTTCAGGAGGAGGCAGAAGGGCTGGGCTTTCTTGGTAGCAGAGGGTCCAACTTCCTCCTGGCAGAGCCTACCCACGGCCCTCGTCCCCTCCCCCCCCGCCATATCCATGCCCTTTCTTTTCCCAGGTGGGAGCAGCCCAGTGCCCACGTGATGCTGTGTGCTATCTTGTGGTCACGTGTTGCAAGGTGCCTTGAAGCAGCCAAGCCAACAAGTACCTTCCACTCACTTCCTCAGCTGGCTGCTCGGAGCCTGCCCCCTCTGGGCTGTGACTCAGTTGTCTGGCCAGGCTTTCTCCCACCTATTGGAGTGTCCTGGGCCTCCGGTTTCCTCTGAGCGCCTGAACTGGGAGACTCTCGACCCCACTACCTGCTGCTGTTGACGCCATTCTGACCCCTAGTAACTCTCTAGGACAGAGGAGAACTGCCTCATAGGGTTCAAGGCTGTCCTCTCTATAGAAGCAGAGTGCCTCACCTTCCCCTGTAGAGCAGCTGGTGGATTCAAACTGCTGACCTTTTGGTTAGCAGCCAAGTGCTTTAATCACAGTGCCACCATGGATCTGTTTGACCCTGTTGTTGTTAAGTGATGTTCACTTTAAAAAAAAAAAAAACATAACTACAACGCCACTGTAACATCTAACAAAATGAACGATAATTTGTTAGTATCTCCAATAGTCAATAGATACCTTGTTATGGTTGGCTTGGCTTGTTTTAATTAGGATCCAAACTAGGCTTATTCATTGCATGTGATTGTTGTCTTACGTTGTTGTTTGGTGCCATCGAGGCAGTTCTGTATCCAGCCCCTCACCCTCATCATCAGTGCTGTATGTGAGGTCATTGTTGTGGCCACCGTGTCAGTACAAGTGCTGCTGACTTTTGAAAGCACCTGGACCCCACTTCCCTTGTTGCTGGAGAATAGCTTTCTCCCTTTGTTGTTGTTATGTGCCATCGAGTCGGTTCCGACCCATAGCGACCCTGTA